GCCAGGGGGCGGGGTGGGGGCAGTGCTCGGTGGCTGCCCCGCAGGCCTGGGGGGGCCACGTGGGGTACCTCCCCTGCCGTCACCCTGGCTTCTAAGTTTGGTGACAGAACCGGCCCGCTGGGGGCCCAGGGGCCCGCAGGGCTGGCGGACAGCAGCTCCGGACGGTGCCCTCTGCGCCCCGCGGCGGCGGCTCCCCGGACGCCGAGCAGCCCCTCCTGGCCCCCACCCGGGAGGCCACTCACGCGGCCGCCCTGTTCCAGGACGTCGACTGGGTGCAGACGGAGAAGCACGTGTTCGAGCAGGCGTCCAGCAGCCCCTTCCTGGTCGGCCTGCACTCCTGCTTCCAGACCACCAGCCGGTAGGGCCGCGGCTGCCGCTGGCCGGCGGGGGCGGGGGGTGCACTGGGGGGTGGGGCTGGGTGCAGGTCGGGGCTGGGGCTTCGGGGGCAGTGAAGCGCCCCAACAGCTTGCCTGCGGCTCGGTGAGCAGCCCCTCGGGAGGGCCCCCACAGACGGCCCTGGAGACCCAGTGTACCGGCTGGGGGTTGGGGTGCCGAATGCGGGGCGCGAGCACCCTGCCCTCTGGGGTCACACCGCCCCAGTCCACTCTCGCAGGCGCCTTCTGCCCAGACCCCCGAGAAGGGTCCTGGGAGGGTGTCTGCAGGCCGGGAAGGGCCCTGGGGCCCCGAGGCCCGCCAGCAGCTCACCCAGGCTGGTCTTCGCTGCAGCCCACACGCCCTCCGCCCTCCATGGCCTTCGCACCCTGGTCCTGCCTGCGCCTGCCGGCTGCTGAGCCCGAGGGCTGGGCGCAGCCGGCCCCCGGCACTCTGGGCCAACCTGGCCGCTAGCCCCCATCTTCACCCGGCCGGCAGCTGCCCCCGCCCCTGCCTGAGCCCCCTGGCCTCGCCCAGGCCCAGGGCACTGCCGGGCCCTCCTCGCCACCACCCTGCGGCCGCCAGACGGCCCCACTGAGCGCTGGCTGGGAGAGGGCGCCCGCCGGCTTCCTGAGCCGTTCCAGGGGGGCCTTCTTCATGCGATTTCTTGGTCAGTGTGAATGTTGTTGGGGCGGGACGGAGGAGTGAGGCCAGACCCCACCCCCCGTGCGCCTGGCACCTCAGAGAGACGTTGAAGGCTGTTCCGTGTCGGCCGTGACTGCCGGGAGGCCGCACCAGCTGGTCGGCACCCTGGTCAGCCCCATGGTCTGCCGTGGGCAGGCGGGCCAGGCGCCCCTTCCTGTGGCCGGGGGGGCTGCTGGGTGTCTGCCTCCCGGCCCCCCCCAGCCCCATGGGTGCCCCAGCCAGGGGCTGCTCCCGGGGCGGGGCCACAGCATAAGGCACCTGCCAGGGCCTGGGAGCGAGAGCCCAGCAGGGCCCTGTCTCAGCACAGCGCTGCCCTGCGCTGCGGGCACGCAGCCTGCTCCTCGCAGGCCGGCAGAGGCTGCAGGAGACCCCGGGCCACGGCGGCTTCCGCCCCCCACCCAGCAGTGCCCCTGCCAGGCGGCTGAGCCCCTTGCCGGGGACCGGGTGATGTCCCCCAGACCATGCTCAAGCGGGGAAGCCGCAGTGCCAGCAGCACAGAGCAGTCTGCTGCGGGGACGAGACTCCGTCAACAAGACCATGCCCTTGCCCCGCGGCGCCAGCGGCCACTGCCTGGGCAGGAAACCACCTCTGTGGACCCGAAGGACGGGCCGCTCCCGGGGCCGGCACCTGCCTCTGCGCCCCCAGGCCCGCCAGGAGCTCTGTGCTGGAGGAGCCCCGCGGCCCCCAGGCCAGGCGGGGCCTCCCAGGCCGGAGCCCCAGTCAGCGCCCCCCTGCCAGCGGCCGGCCTCCAGCTGCAGGACTCGGGCTGAGCTGGGCCTGGCCTGGGGGCTGCAGACCTGGGGTGAGGCCTCCGGGGACGGCAGTGAGGCAGGAGGGGCGTCCTGGAGTTTCGTGGGGGCGGCCGGCAGCACGCCGTGCGGCACTGCTGCTCGAGGCCAGCGGCCCAGAGGGCGGGCGGCCCGAGGTGCGGGCAGCAGCGGTGCTGCAGGGTTTCAGAGCAGCCGCCAGGCCGGCCCGTGCCCGGGCCCAGGAGAGCGGGGTGGCCGAGCACCCCCAGGGCTGCTGGAAGTGGTTCCCCCGCACGCAGGCTGCGGTGGGAGGTGGGGCCAGCGGGAGGTGGGCAGTGGCCTGGGGGCATGGTCAGAGGGTCAGGGTGCGCCCCAGCCGGTGGCGGGCGCGTGACCTCACCTGCAGCCTTCGCGGCCCGAGGGGCGACGCTTCCGCTGAGCACGTGCGTCACCTTCCAAACACGAGCGGCGCCCAGTCGCTCTGGGCCCAGAACAGCAGGTGCGGCCTGCGGTGGGGGCCCGCAGCCGTTGTTCTCCCACAGACCTGAGGCCGGCCGAGCCCCGCCGCTGCTTCCTTTCAGCCCCGAAGTGCTGAGGCTGCCGGCCCTGGCAGTGCCAGGCCGAGCCCTCAGCCCAGGCAGGGCACCGCCGCCACTGGGCGGCCTCCCGGGCTCCTGCGTGGACATCAGGTGTGGGCGACGGCCCCCTCCGAGCCCCGGGCGGGGTCCCCGGCTGGCCGCCAGGCCGTGCCCTCAGCAGAGGCTGGGGCGGGGCCCACTGCGTGGCGGGGCCCCCTAGCTCTTGCCGCCGGGCAGTGACATCGGAAGCCATGTGAGGCTTCGTTAATGGCCTCTGCGGAGTGACTCCGTGGGCCGCCGCGGGAGGGGCGGGGGTCTCTCCCCGCCGCCCTCTGCTGTAGTTAAGACGGCGGCTGGCGGCGGCCAGTGCCCGGGTGTAAGTCCCCAGAGGACCCACCTGGTGGGACAGCAGCCAGGCCGCACTGGGCACGTGGGGGTCCTGCCCCCAGCCCGCGCACTCTGGCCTGGCCCCTGGCCTGATGCCCGGCGGCCTCCTCCGCAGGCTGTTCCTGGTCATAGAGTACGTGAACGGCGGCGACCTCATGTTCCACATGCAGAGACAGAGGAAGCTCCCGGAGGAGCACGCCAGGTGGGGGCGGGCGGCCCCCGGGGAGGCCTGGCCCGCAGGGTCTGGGGTGGACGCCGGGCCGGGGGTGGCCGGCTCCCTGTTCGCAGCGCTTCCCTGGCAGCGGGGGTGCTTGCCTGCCCGTCCCCCGCTCCCTGCGGGCAGGCTCACCCTGCTGTGCCGGCCGCCCCTTCTCCAGGGCCTTCCCCTTCCTCAGCTGAAACTGCCCCGCGGAGCCCCACCACACCCCTTCCCCGTCGGGGAGGTGATGCCCGGGGCCTCCGGCCAGCGTCCCCCTGCCCGGCGGGGCCGGCCGTGGCCCGGCGGGGAGCAGATCTCGGGTGCGGTCCGTCTCACCTGGGCGGGGACCTGGATCGCGCCGCAGTGACGGGCTGTGCCCCGCTCTGCTCGAGTCCCTGCTCCTCGTCATTTGGGGCACCCGCCCCAGGTGTGGTGCCCGGCCACGCAGTGCCGCGTGACCCTCGGGGGTCTCCCCGCGCCCGCGGTCTCCTCGGCCGGCTGGTC